TGATCTCTAATTTCACAATCTTCTCATTTCTTCTCCCCCTTCCATTCATTCGGCTCGACTTTTCCCATCATCTTCTGTGACTCTTCGTTTCTCCTCAATTAAGAACAAAATTGCTACAATCTTCCCCACTTAAAAAAAAATTCTTACTCAAAATTTTTAAACATACCCCACGATACAACTCATTAAGCATTTTCTATTGGACTCTCTTCTTCAAAAATTTCAGTTGTAGCCGTATGCCTATACTTATTAATTTGAGTTAATTATAAATTTTAAATTTTATTATTTAAATTTTCTTATGATTTTATTATTAATATTAAACCTTGGGCTCTAATAGCACTTTTATCACGACTCGGACCGAGACTTGGAGTAAACCAAGGCGAGAGCGGACGGACGGACGGTGTAAAATAAATTTTTTATATTAACCTTTAATTTAAAAAATGAAAGAGCCACTACAAATTAAATTAAACTGGTATAATTAAAATTTATCTCATTGACGATTTTCCGCATCTTCTATAAACGTTTTCTCATCTATCGCTCAACTTTTAATAATTTAATTAACCTAAAAAATTAGTTAAAATAATTGTGAGCTAAACAAGCCAGTGAATACTTATACTCATACTCAAACTATAGTAATACAAGGGAGAAAGAAATAATACGCATGTCAGTTGAACAATTAAAATAAATCAATATAACCATTTGATGATATTTAAAAGACTTATTTTACCAATATCTTATCAATATCATTTCGTAATTATACAACTGTCACAGGAGTCGCCGTCTAAAAATTGTGTCAATCAAGAAGGATCAATATCATTATCATTTTTCATTTACGTGCACGGATACATTAGTGTTCCCCCACTAGTACCATCAATGAGTACTTCATCATAGTCAGTCATGCACTTACAAGCAACCAACATAAACATGTGTTCATCACATTCAATCATACTATATAAATACCGTCTAAAAATTGTTGGTAGGTGGCTAGGAATGGCGGCAGGGAGGTATGGGGGCTACAAAAGACAACAAGTGTGTTGTCCTTGAAGGTTTCTATAGCAGTTACGACGATGGTGACAACATAGGGAAGGTTGTGGAGGATAGAAAAGTTGAGGGTAAATAACACATCAGGAGAGAGATCAAGTCGGAGCACCACTCGATCCTTAGAGGAGAATCACCACCTCGAAACAAGAAACATTTGAAACACCACTTGCCCCTGGATAAAGCCCTATACAGGAAAACAGGGGATATGAAGGCAACTGTCTTGACAGAAACATTATCACAAACTGATCCACAACATGGTAAAAATATATATATACCTAACTAAGAATTGGACCCCCTCTCACAACGAGGCGGTAATATGCCATAAGGAAAGTCATTCATTGCTTAAGCTACAATTATGAACCAATCCCAGCCAGCTCGGAGGCCTTGCGTCCAATCTAGAAGCTGAGACGCTCACATCTGATGCAAAGCGGGAGATGCTCGCATTGTCCAGTGTCGCGGATTGGATTCTTGCATCGCACTCCGTTGGACACACAACATCACATACCTTGCCTCATTATTTTATCTCATTGCATATAGATAGTTAAACCATGTAATTGTGAACATAGGATTTTGCAAAAAGTAAGAAAACTAATAGCTATGAGAAGACTAGGTATTGTAATATTAAATAAGTTATGATTAGATTCGATTACTTAGTTATCAAACTGAGAACCTACACTAAGATGAACAACATCAAGTAAACTCATAAGAAAAATCTTGTTAAACAGTGCAATGAGCATCATCATAAGTCAATAAAAAAGTTAATTATGTAATTCGGTGTCTATGGTGGGAATGAAACCATCTAATATGAACTCACAAAGATAGTATTAATCAATGCAATGTGCTTCATTATATGGGTATAAATTAGTGGTCATTTTATAATGCTAAAGTAGAAGCATTTGTAAATAAACTCTCCTACATCATTACCAAAGTAGAAGGCATAAGCCTGCCATAATTCACTTATGATAATGTAGTTGGGGAGACAATTTGAAGTCCTAGTTTAGTCAAACCAACAACTTCCTCAAAACAAACTAAAACCTTTTCTCAAATACAAAAATCTTGAGGTATGCCATAATCTCTTCAAACACCTTACAAATAAGAATGACCGTATTAAGAATGTCAAAAATCATAAGCTCCTTCTAATGGCGATCTAGAAAAAAAAATTTCGAGATGAACTGATTTTACAGTTGAACCTCCACTTGAAATTGAACTTCAATCTAAACATGAACACAAATGTGCGCTTGTTTCAACACGACCAAATCAAATGAATTTACTTGTGAAATAGCACCATGATCTAAATGTGAGCCTTAAACTTAATTGGACATTGAGATTGATCACCACTACTTGCTAAAGTTGTTTGTTTCTTTATCCCTTCCATTCTCCAAATCTCAAAAAAATTATCCCTTGAGATCATCATTTACATGGCAATGAACGCGTCGAGTATTTTTATTTAGTTCTATAACATCAAATATATCACATAATAAGAAAATTCATCTAGAGAGTGTTGGCTTAATTTGCATATTTATGAATTTTTTATTAATGATTCTCTTCATGAAAGCTTAAGTTTAAAATATTTTTAACACTAAAGGAAAATGCATAATAATATCTAATAAATATTAAATTTGGTCTGATGTACTTTAAGGAAATAATTTGAAATTCCAGAATGCTAATTTTCATCAAGATAGCTAACTATTATTGTTGATAATTTCCATGTACTTTCTTTGATGCCAATTATGAGCTCTAAAACTTTTGTCCTAATGAAGTTATTATTCACGCTTTCCCTAAAATCTTATGGGTACTATTACATTAGACTTGCAAGCATTGTATTTTGAATATGTTGAATTTATAAAATTAGTTGAAATTGAAAGATTAATGCTATGCATAGTAAATATTTTATTGGGGTGAATACACTTAACCCAATTGTATCATAATACTCATATAACCCTCATAAGAATTAGCAATATGTGATTTACCCTTTCTGTTTCTAACTGGAGTGTAGCTATTAAGCTTTCCATCCAATTTGACGGGTGAATTTTAGTCTCCTTTTTTTCTTCCTTCATCTCCTATAGCTTTTATTTTTATCCCAAAAATGCCTTTATTTTGAATTTCAATCACGAGTCCTTTCCTTTATCTCCATGGTGTGCAACTTGCCAAGCTGGTTCCTTTATCTCCATGGTGCAACCATTAAGGCCAAGGGAGCATATGAGGTTCATCAGGTGAAAGAAGAGAAGTTTGTTGTCAATAGCAATGTATCTTAAATGTTTCTTTAACAACAATTTAGCTTCTTATATTGGAATCTCTTGTCATGTTCCAATTAAGTAGTTTAATTTATAATACTGATCTTCATAATCTTATCTATCTTGAAAATTTAAGAGTGTTTCTAAAGCCAACTTGATTGAAAGATGATCTCACTATCTTTCAATTAGTCTCTTTAACCGCCAGTTTTGACACCCAAGTATAAAAAAGATGAAGAGAAATTCGAAGCTATGAACATGAACAAAAACCACTAGATTTCACAAGCATGAGATCCTAAACCACTAAAACCAAAGGAATAAGAAGTGTCACCGAGCCACTCCTTTATCTCAACTTCCCCAAGATGGACAACATAAATAGCTCTCATCTTCCTACAAAATATCAATTTTCCCATCGTCCTCTCCCTCCTCTCTTCTTTCTTAACATCATTGATTCTCCTCAATAAAATCCAAACTACTCTTCATTTTCATTGCAACCCAGCTTGAATTCATGTTCCTTGTTCTAGGGCAGAAGTTTACAACATCTTTTATAATCGTATGTGCTACTAACCTTTGGCGTAGTAGTGCTTAGAGCATAGATCAGCAGCTACAATCCGAAAGAAAGCCACATTTTCTTAAAAGACAATTTATTTCAAAGTAACGTAAACTTATTTACATAAGGGTATGTGTTTTTCACTCCAATCAAATTGGATGGAAAAGAAAACACTTTTATCAAAAGCAAATGGCATTTAAGCGCACATTCTTAAACAGCATAGCATTGTGCACATTAGAATAAAGAGAAGGGGATAAAGTATTATTACCCCAATTTTCTAACTAAGGCATATGTTCACTCCAATATTTGTGATAATATGACAAAAATTATGTTTTAATTTTTAACTATGGAACATGTTTTTTGCATTTGGCATGCAATACGTTACCTATCACAGCCTTACAAATACTAGTGACTATTGCATTTGTACTTTCTTTGTCTTTTAACATAAATGTTCTTCCTACAACGTTCAAAGATACAAGGTATCCTACTGGTATCTCTGAAAGTGAAGTTTAAAAGTGCCCTCGAGAATGCTAGTTTTGTTCTCCCACCAGCTGCAGCTCCAATTCCACGGTCATTTACCATCATATGATTACTGGGTGACTCATGAAGAATTGTATAAAATCTCGCTCAACCATTTCAATGACAAGAGTGCTTTAGATACTTTTCTGCCTGAAATATTTCCCTCCCACCCATAGGCACATGCTTCAGGCAATTTCTTCGAAAGATCATAATTCACTAAGATACTGCTTCCGATGCTTCACTAAAAAGCATATTCTTCGATAGCAAATGCTTCACTAGGGGCTAGATTTGCTTTGCTTAAAAATACAGCACAGTAACAATCAGGGGACAGATGATTCATATATAATTGCATTTAGTTCAAGAAATTTCCAGGATACAATATAACTGTAATCAAGAGAACCACGCATACATAAGCAACAAAAATAGCACAGCAAAGAGAAATAAATAGAGTACTGTACAGGACAAACATTTTCTTAGCAAAGCATTAATCGAATAAACAATTTAAGATGGGTTATTTTATGACATTAGCGAGCACGAATGGCTTCAAACCTGTAGGTTTATTTTTTCAAGCCCACTCTTATGAACCATAAATGCCCTGGACAGAGTGTGAATCAGTATGATAAAAAAATTATGGAACGAGAATTGAAGGCAAGTGAAGAAACCTAAGATTAGTCAGAGCATTTTTGGCATTTTGGTAGAGTCCATGACAGAGCCAGCTCCATGTAGTTGTGGATTGCTGAGATCCTGGTCAAGAGAATAGAGCATTTTTAAGGAAAAAACAAATGTGTATGAAAAGGAACGCTTATCATATTAGATGGCCATTATTAAGTACAAAAGGGAAAGTCTGCAATCTCTATGCATGTTAACAATGAAATTATGACTACTAAAGGATGCGTACACTATTGGAAGGTATCTATTCACAGAATGGCACAGAATTATCATAAAAGAAGAAGAAAGAATACGAGGGTTGAGTTTCAAACTAGTGAACCACAAATTCCATGCAGAAATCTGTCTACTAGAAAGTAAAATCCTAAATAGCGAAGAAAAAATGTGTGATGGACACGCAAACCAATGGGAAAAAACTTCTCAACAACACACCCACCCGTGGCCCTGATTTGGCACATCTTTTAAAGTTATCATCTCATTTTATCCTGAAATACATGATATAGTACAAGGATATAAGTATGACGATGACGTCACCATGAAATGATAGGACCATACACTCAAAGTAAACATAATATTCATGAAAAGAAGAGGACATCCAAAGAAAGAGAATAAAGGCCATTTCAGTGCCAACTTTAGATAAAAAGCTCTATTGATAAAATGAATACCTACTCTAATAAAGATGCATAAGCAACTAATCCATCGAAACAAACTCCATTTAAGCCAAGAGATAGAATGACAAAAGTTCAAACTTTTATGCAAGATTGGCAGAATAGCACGTTAGGAGAAGTCAGTATAAACTTCTGCAACATTATTCACATTTGTAAAGTAAGGCCCCATGTAGGGGTGATTTTTTCCGGCGACGCAGCACCAAGACGCGCCCATTTATTTTTCCATTCATTTGTCACGTTTTTTAGGATGCCATAGGAAAAATTCACGGAGCGCAGGTTGAACCCTGCGGCCTGTGCTTCCTATTATTTGATGTGAGCACAAGTTACTGCTCTCCCGCTCCCCCCCCCCCCCCCCGCTTCCTGGCCGCGCCCGTTCCCCCTCCCCTTTCTCAAGACCGCACTAGCATCTCCCTCCTCTCGCGCGATTGAAAGGTGTGAACGTTCATTTTTTTCGCTAGAGACATTTTTCTTTTGTTGTAACTGGATGTGCAACTCTCTATGTTGGATCTATTGAGTTGTTGGGTTTTCTTCAGTTGTTTGGATTTTTGTTAAATATCTTTGATTATGATGGTTCATTTTGGCTCTATTCTTCTATGTGAATGTTGGCTAACTTGAGGATGAGATGAAAGTGCATTCCTTGTCCTTAAGGGAGCTCTGGATATTCACGAATTAGGCATTTTTTTGCCTTTTAGCAGGATTTAGCTTAAATTATGCTTAAAACCAGCTATCAAACAACCCATAAAGGTAGAAAAGATAATGTTCAAGCCAACAAAATTCATGACAGAATGCAGCACTGCAACACCAACAGATAGAACATGCTCCATGTTGGTTCTCCTTTATTATTGTCTCAAATATTCTATTTGGCAATAAATCTTGCTTAAATCCATCATTAAACAAAATACCAAAGAGCCCCAGAGAATAATCAAATTTTAGAACGATGACAGTTAAATATGTAAGTATATAAGAATTATGAAGTACATATGTAAATCTCCCAAGTAGAATTTGTTTATCCCAATAATGTTTGCATGGGTTGACTGAGAATTAACACCCTAAGGCATCCTCATGCCTTCACAATTATTTGGCATATTGTCCATCCAAGATTCTTTATCAATTTTCTTAAAGGTAGACAAGATAATGTTCAAGACGGTATAAATTCATGTCATAACGCAACACAATAGTACCAATAGATAGAGAAAGCTCCATGTAGGTTATCCATCAAAAGTACCAAAATTTCTAAGTTAATGTTATTCTGTGCTATGTATCTATATATGAAAGTTTAGGTGTGAGATATGTAAAATACATACGAGTTTTGTGATATGCATGTAAATGCCAGAAAATTCTATTTGGCACTAGTCATTATAGTCTTTTCTCCAGCATTGTTTGTATCTTCAATATTTATCTTCTTTGATGATTAACCATCGGAAGGAAGAGATGATAATGGGTAATAGAACATCATAACAAGTTGATATGGATGATTATTTTAGCCTGTTAATCACAATCATGACAACACTGTGGAGTAATGCTTCAGTTATTTTTCATAATAATATATTTTTTTTGTTTTACAAGTTGAGAAAGATTGATTAATAAGTTTTGGAGAGGTCCAAAGGCTTTTGTTGTTTGGCAATAGCTTACTTTTTTATGTTAAACATGTAAATGCTTTCATGCATGAGCTTTTGAGTTTTTATACTCTTTTCTTTTATTTTCATAAGAAAAATATAAAAGAAGCATTCCACCAATGTGATTTAATTTTTGCATTAGTGAAAGTTTCGTGGTTGTGTGGTGAATCAAGCTTGTGTTGTGGTTTCTGTGATTGTGTGGTGGCTGTGGGTTGGGATGGTGGATGTGGTTTGGGGTGTTGGATGTGATTTGGAGTGTTGTGGTATTTGTGGGTTGGGGTGGGGTTCTGTGGTTTGTTTAGGGGCTCTAGCTTGTGTTGTGGGTTTTTTGGTTGTATAGTCACTGTGGGTTGAGGTGGTAGTTGTGAGTTGCGATGTTGATTGTGGTTGTGGTGTTGGTACTTGTGGGTTGGGGCGAGGTTATGTGGTTGTGTAGTGGTTAAAGCTTGCGTTGTTGGTTTCGTGGTTTTGTGATGGTTGTGGGTTGGGGTGATGGTTGTGGGTTGGGGTGCTTGCTGTGGTTGTGTGGTGGTACTACTTGTGGGTTGGGGTGATTCTGTGGTTGTGTACTGGCTCTAGCTTGTTTTGTGAGTTTTGTGGTTGTGTGGTGGTTGTGAGTTGGGGTAGTGGTTGTGGCTTGTGGGTTGTGCTTTAGAGTGGTTGTAGTGGGGGTGCTACTCTCTTCTATATGCATAATATGTTACCTACTTTTTTGTATGTTAATTGAGCTCAAAAGTTGGAATGGTTGTTGTGGCTTGGGGTTGTGTCTTTGTTGTTGGTGGTTGTGGATGTTGGTTGTGGTGGTGGGTTGTGGTTGTGTGGTGATTGTGGGTGGAAGTGGTGGTTGTGAGTGTGACTTTGGGGTGGTGTCCTTGCCTCTGGTGGCTGTGAATTCAGAGCATATTTCTTATAATTTGAAATGTGGTTTGTGGGTCGGGGTGGTGCGGTGGTTGTGAATTCTGTGGTGAATATGTAGTTGGGTTGTTGTTGTCCAGTGTGTGTGTATTAGTCTGTATTGGGTTGTGTGCTTGTCCAGTGTGTTGGTGTTTGAGTTTCTGTTGATTTTTATTGGGTTGTTGTTGGTCTGTTGGTCTGTTGGTGTGTTGGTGTGTTGGGTTTGGATTGTTGATTTTTATTGGGTTGTTGTTGGTCTGTTGGTGTGTTGATGTGTTGGGTTTGGATTGTGTGTGTGTGTGTGTGTGTTGGGTCACACGTGTGTGTGTGTTGGATCTGGATTGTGTTGTGTGAGTGTGCCTTGGGTTGTGTGGTGGTTGCGGGTTGGGGTATGTAAATGAAAATCATGCATGGACCATGAATGGACTCTGGCTTGTGATGTGTGTTGTGTTGTTGTGTGGTGGAGGTGGGTTGGGGTGGTGATAGTAGGTTGTCAATTGGGGTGGGGGCATTTGGGTTGTGTGGTGGCTCTGGCTTGTGATGTGTGTTGTGTCGTGATGTAGTGATGGTGGGTTGTGGTGGTGGTGGTAATCTATGGATTGGGATATTTGGGTTGTGTGGTGGCTCTGCCTTGTGATGTGTGATGTGTACTGTGTGGTGGTAGGTTGTGGATTGGGGTGGGGGTAGTTGTATTATGCGGTAGCTCTGTTTTGTGTTGGGCTACAAGTGGTTGTGTTGTGGTTGTGTGGGTTCTCGTGGCTAATTATCGTGTTGAGATTGTTGTGAAACATTAAAGTTTGTTTTTTTTTTCTAATTCTAGTAACATAATAGTTAAGTCTAAAGAAGTTGGTTCATCAGTCATGCTAGATAAAGAAGCCAAACTCATATTTTGCAACCTCTGCCTTAAGGAGGTTGAGCTGGAAAATAGACTAATCACCTATTTTAACAAGCAAGGGTGGCAAAATATTATGATGAAGTTCAAGGAAATGGCAGAAAGGGAGTGTGATAGGTTGCAACTCAAGAACAAATGAGATCAATTGAAGAATGACTAGAAATTATGGAAAGAATTAAAACGGAAATGTACAGGCTTAGGTTGAGATCCAATCAAACGGACTATTGATGCTTCGGAGGAATGGTGTAGAGAAATTAGACGTAACAAATTATAATACTTAATTTTTGTTACACGAAAAACTTTTTCCCAATAATCTCTTATTGAACTGTTTAAAGTAATCAACTTCCCCGCATATTGTAGGCAGTGTCAACCACCAAGAAATTCAAATTCTGTGGAATTGAACCGGATTTAGATTTTAGATGTTTTTAAACATTGATTGATTCACATATATTACATGAACAGAGCACTTATTTGGCATGGACTCACAAAGAGAGGTGTAGAAGAAAAATTGTGACAGCAGTATGTATTATGTATGAGTATTACAGCTCATACGTCAATCAAACTCCCTGAACGACATCCACTTATATTGGTGATAAATAAGTTGGGGAGCTACTACAAGGACACTCCACAAGATTCAGTAACATGTTCTGTATGGCAGCCTATAAATATGGATTAATTTGATAAACTACATAGCCATCATGGACTCCAAGCCTCCTCAAGAACCCCTGTTTTATAAGTTTTGTTGTATTATTGTAGTGACAGATTCATTGGTTGGTTTTCTGAAATCTCACGCCTGCACTAAACTGTAATTCATTACTTTTTTTTTCAATTTATACTTATGTTATGACTGATAGATTGTCTTTTGAAACCTTAAGCAAAAATGAGCTATAGGGTTTCATGGACCTCTCGACGATTGCTCTGCTACTGTGGACTTCATACTTCCTTGCTGATATAACGTCAGTCATATAGCTATAGAAGAGTTTTGTAAGTGTCCGCAGAGAATTATGGAGAACTGTGACTTCTTCCGGTGGGCAGATAGACTCGAAGAATCAACTGTCGAGAGTGACCAGGCGTGTAGAGTATCCATGGAAGACGACTTAGCTACTGACATACGCAGTCTCAACTTTAAAATAATATTAACATATTATTAAATGTTATTTTAATAGTTTTGTTTCTTATTTTAATAATCATTATATTCATTGTTAAGTGAGGTGTATATCTTATTTTTTATACTGTTTTGAAATGAATTTTTGTTTCTCAAGTATCAAATATATTGTTATGACAATTCTGTTGCAAACAACATTACTGCACAGGGGCAAAATGATCATTTGTCCAGAAACAGTTTTTTTTCAACAGCACAAACCAAATAGTCAGCCAGCTTATTTTCAACATATGCTTATCAGCAGATTTCTGGGGCAACTGCTTATTAATAAGCTACAGCTTCCCCAAGTAGACCCTTAACCTCCTTCAATTCCAGCAGACGCACAATTTTGCAACATGGGCATCACACCATTACAAATATCATACTAGGTGGCCACTCAATAGCAACAGGCTCCAGCTTCTACTCTCTCTTTCTCTCTCTCTCTCTCTATATATATAAACTTGACGAACATTGCATGCAAACAAAAGTCAACCCAAGTCAAAACATTCATATAAGATTTGGAATCCCAAAGATAAACAATAACTTCAGACAATAACTAACCAGAACAGATTGATGACCTGCCACACCAGGTGCCTGATACTGATGGGAAAATATAAAAGTTAGTCCAACAAACAGTTCTCATAAATAAGAAATATGCAAGTCAGATTTTACTGACAGCTAAGGAAGGTTGAAGGATTTGCAATTGCGCTTGCTGTCTTGGCTGCATTTGAGGCTGTACTTGTGTTGAAGCCATTTGTTGTATAGTCTGAACCTGCATCTGTGATGGAGCATGAGAGGGAGATTTAAGTTGTGGGGCAACGATTTTCTGTTGCTGCAGCAGTAGCTGTTGCTGCTGCAGTAATAGCAACTTCTGCTGTTGCTGTTGCTCAAAAACTGTTAGCTCTTCTGGTTTTTCCCACTGTCAAACAAAGCTTACTAATCACTTGCAGCAAATACACAAGGGAAGAAAAACAATATCATAGAAAGGATATAAAAAAAAAAAGTTAAAAAACTTACTAATCACTATCCGCAAATAAATATACCTTGCTTTCACGGGTGACACTATTGTAGTAGTATTTAAATCCTTCAGGAGAAGTATGCTCCGTCCAGTTGCAAGTTGAAGCAGCAGCTCCAGATGGCGCACTTAAAGCATTTGATGGGTTTGCAGATATAGTTGATGGGATAGCAGCACCAAGCATGCTAGGAGTAGTTGAAGTTGCTGGTGGGCCAGACCATGGTGACTGTTAAAAGGATTTTGCAATAGGAAAGCTATTAATGGCAAATCTAACACAGCTCAGAAACTAAAAGAGATTGTAGGCATTCATACCAAAGATTTTATAGTGAAACAGAAGACTAGAATATATAGCATGCTCCTAACTAAGGCATAGATAGGCATTACAATTTAGGAATTCAGACAACCTAAGAGCAGGAAAAACGTACATAACCAAATACTGGAAACCTGAAGCCAAAATAGTGTATGAGATTACCTGCTGCTTGGCAGACTGAGAACTCTGCTGCTGATTTAGATTTGAGTGCTGCATCATCTGTAGCTGTTGTTGAATCTGAAAAATTGCCTGCTGTGAAGACTGGTAGCTTGACTGTAAAGTTTGAGCTTGCTGCTGCAGCAGCATCTGGGTTGGCAACTGATGTCCTGGTTGCTGAAGCAACTGCTGCGAGATGTTAGAAAAAGGCAACTGCTGTTGATTAGGAACAGCTGGCAAACCTTGTTGCTGCCCAAGTTGCTGATTAGAATTAAGCAGAGTAGCAGCAGTGGCATTTTGTGGAGTTAGAGATGGAGAGGCAGATAGTTGTGCACTGAGACCAGGAACTTGCTGTGCTTGACTGAAAGAGTTGAACCCGATGGATTGGGGAAGCTGAAACTGTCCAAGTTGCTGCATTGGTGCTTGTAAAGCTTGTGTTTGTGCATGTGAAAATGAAAGAAGAGCATTATGCACTGGCAATGCCGGTGGTAAATTTTGGGGCAACGGGAGAGACTTCTGCAATGGCAACACATGTTGGCCCATAGCTGGAGGGGCTTGCGCAATAGGTGGGTTAAAACTCTATGGGGGAAAAAAGATAGCATTGTTACATAAACAGACTTTCAGAAGGTATAATTATAGATGGTTAGTTCAAGACAATACAAAAAATTAAGAAAAAATTGAGGCTTACCTGAGAAGAAGATGATATCGGTGCAACATTTGGCAAAGCACCATTTGTAGAAGGCACAGCATCTCCAAAGGAGCCGGACTAACAAGTACATAATGAAAACAAAGATGAATTTAGAGAACATGATGCTGATCTTACAGAGAAACCAAAAAAAGAGAGAATAAAGAGTTTACTCCAACAGCCAACGTAGGAGTAATGCCACCCATGACAGTTGTTTGACTTCCAAATCCTTGAGTACTTGACTGAGTTGGCAGCCCACCTGACTGTGGACTTTGTGGGGTCCAACGCTTATGAGGTATGTGGCCACCACGTGCCTCATCAAAATTTTCTGGTTGCCTACATAAACTTGGTTAAACCGAATAGTCATGCATCATATCTTCTTTCTAAGTCTTATTAGGAATGAATGAATAATTAAAATATATAAGTTCAACCTTAAATAATTAGCATAAGACTAATGATAAAAATTAATGATCAAAATTATTCAAGATTTCAATCCTTGAGGAACCCTTTTTTAAAGCCAAATTGCATTAGAAAATACCCTCAAATGTACTACCAAGCTTTATGGGATACAAAGAAGAATATGGAAACAAGAAAAATGGATTATTAATTATCGAAAATAATGAATAATCCTATTGAAATCTAGGTTGTTAAAGAGCAGAGCACATTATGGGGCACAATAGATTATTTTGAATTGAAAAGCACAACCAAAGCACATTTTAGTTAATTGAACTGCACATATAACAAAAAAATTGTATATTATGAAAACACTTAAGAACCACATAATATAAAATTTCAAAAAATGAAATGATCTCATGACATTTTAAATCAAACATTGACATTAAAAATTATTAAAAACTAATAAACAGAAGGCATGCACACAATGTAATAGATTACATATGACATTAACTCATCATTAAGGTCTGAGAAAACTTTTGAAACCTGCACCAAGGAACCCATTTTATTTTGAGCTGTTAGGAAAAAAGCTTCAAAACCTTTATTTCTCCTTGATCTTCAAAATCCACGTCTCAATTGATCAAGGCATGGGTTTTGAATCCTATCATTTTGAAACCCATTGTGGCATGGGTTTCAAATTGCATGAGTTCAATTACGAGCTTTACAGCTCCACTCCGGAACCATTTCAATCCATCTAGTGATTGCAGAAACTCATTGAAGCCCAATTGCAAATTGAAGATAAAAAATTGGCTTTTCCCCTACATCCCTCAATCAAATCCTACGCGTCATTTTTTACTTCAATGATCATGAGTCCAGGTAAGCCCCTCACCCTCATCTTTTGATCTTTTTTACATTCCTTCTGGTGTTTTCTTCCCACACAATTGCCCTATTAATCATTATAATTTTTTGGAGGGAACTCGCTCTCATCACCTTCAAATAACAGCAAAAAAATCATCCCCATCTCCTCACTTCATCATTAATACTCTGAACTCCTGTTCTGACTTCTGCTCTTCCGTTTCCATTGTTGCTTAGTCCTCCTTAACATTTCTGTAACAGATTTTTAAAATTTTAGAGGTGTTACAGCAGAGGTGACAAAGATGTGGAACTAAATGGGCATGAACTGAGGAAATTGTTGGATTGATGTTAACAATGAGCTCGTTGGCAGGGCACAAAAGCTAATAAGAGATGTAGTGCTGTGCAAGAGGAGCAAATAGTCATGGAAACGGGGCTATAATGCAAGATTAGAAGGATCGTTGATCATAAGCTTTCTTCCAAACTAGGATGGGTTAAGCGAGAGATTTTGCATATACAACTTTAAATGATCCAAGTACACAAGTTGAAACTAGAAAAGAATTTGATTGGCCTTGCACAATTTTCAATCACTTCATAATATGTAAAATAATCAATAACAAGCCAGTGGTCCCTATTTATAGAAATGGAGCAATATGGATAAAGCCTATTACTTTAAACCAAATCCTATCTAGTTCTAATAAATATTTTACTTTAAACAAGATATTTTCTAAAGGGGATAATTAAATCTAATAAAAACAGAAGAAATTAGATGATAAATGAATATTGTCCTAAGTAGGCGCGAAAACATGCACGCATTAAACTGGTTGTGGCCAGTTATTACGCCATGTAGTTAGCCTATGGCCGATTGGGTGGGCTGTTTCCGCTTGATTTGGCATGATTGATATCATACGGATTCCCTTATCATAGCAGTACATTAGAAAAGAGGGAGGAAACGACTTTCGTCTTACAAAGAAGGGATTTAAATGGGCATCATAGACATTAGACATATATATTATCAGATAGAACAATTCAAGAGTTAAGAGAAAATGAAGCTACTGTAAAAACAGATACAATTTAAACTCTTCAGTCATTCATCTCCAAAATAGGTTACTTCCCTAACCATATTCTTTTTTTCTATGCTATTGCAACCACATCGGCAAGAAGAAAGAAGCTAAGCAAATATTCATCCATAAGGGCTCTGTCGGTCGTTAAAATTTGGAAAAAAAAAAAGGTGTTTGATTTAATAATATATAGTTATATAGATTTGAAATGTAACTGTTTAATTTTGAAAAATACGAGACCGAACAGATCTCATATATTTAATAGTTTAAATGATCGAGCACAACACCGCAATTAACACACATATCCCGAGGAATATGCGTGTTACTTGATAGTGAGACTTAATTAAATAAACTATAGAAATTTATGACATCCGTCTGGTCTGCGAACTATTTTTTTCAACCGATAAGTTCTCCTACCTAATGTTAAAAATTAGATAGGATTTATATTACATAGGTTCTCAAAGCTCCCTATAGAGGCAAGCCTTTATAGTTAGGCAAGCCTTTATAGTTTTATAGTTAATTACCTCTCAAATGACTGAATTCACTTAAGAGAACTCTCGATGATGACCAAAGATATCAATCTTCATGAATACAAAGTTTAGGGTTTCCAAGGTTAGACATAGAAAAGTCAAGTGGAGAAAATGACCAAATAGGAACAATTATTTCTGGAGTCGCAGGAAAGAAAAGTAAGGAATGTCACGGATCCTGAGAAAAATTTCAGTGACTTCCCAAACTATCATATTGTTTAGCTTCAATTTCAAGAAGATGTTATTTGATATTTCATCCTGCCGGTCTTATTATTTAGGACATATTTACGTGACACAGTTATACAAATAGTCAGGAAGATATGAGAGTTTACGTCGTATCGGACGACAACCTCGGAACCTAAAGCAAATTAGGGCTTAAATTGCACAAACTGGCTGTGCAAAGGCCTAAAAGATAAGATGAGGATTTATGTTGCGCTAGGCAGACTATCTCGAAGTCCTATGGCTTGTTGTTTAAACTAAGAAAAGGTTTTGTTGTTGTAGATCCGTCTCGAAGTTGCTATTCTGTGTGTCCTCGTCGTGCTGCTCACGGTGTTTGCTCGGTGTTTGCTCCAAGCTCCTCGTTCGTTGTAGCACCTTCGAGTTCGATGTTAATTTTAAGTGTACATGTAATTGTTGAGTCAACGATCTGCTGTCGGGTACCTCCTATAAAACCAACTACTAGCCTCCTATTTTAAGGTATAGTGTGTAAAAGAAACAGTAGCAAGTACAACTACAATGACAGAATTAAAGAAAGTAACTAGCATGTGTTGTATCAACAAAAGAATTACTACATGGAAAATTCAAGAAAGAGCGGCAAGTGACTCATTCCGAAAGAAAACTCGAGAAAATCGTCAAATGACTCGCGATGGTGTGTTGTATCAACAAAAGAATTACTACATGGAAAACTCAAGAAAGAGCGGCAAGTGACTCATTCCGAAAAAAAACTCGAGAAAATCGTCAAATGACTCGCGATGGAAATCTCAAAGTAAAAAACAGCAAATGGTAACTCAAAGAAAGTCACCGAAAACACGGGAAGATCCCAGAAAAAAACCACGAGTGCTTTTACTAAAAGTTCCAATAAAATCCCACGAAAAATCCGAAGAAAGAAAACCGCAAGCACTCGACCGCAAGCACTCGAGCACTCGAGTCGGGGCTAGGCTCAGATACTATATATTTGTACTCGAGGGACGTCGAAGGCTACTATCGGTCATATTGGATGTATAGAGCCCGTCACTCAACTAGAAGGATGTCCTAATAAACCTAACTTAGGAGAGAAGTCCTTAGCCCGGTACTGGTAATTGACAAGTGGACAACCAAATTACGATATATTTAAAATTTATATTTTAGCATGCACATGGATTTCAGGCATACAAAAGGAAGTTATATCAATTTTGTAGGAAAAATATTTTTATAAATATTGTATCTGCTTTTATGATGTTTTGTTCTTATCTTATCATGTCTTGTTCTTATCACTTTTGAAAACTATGATTGTCCACGAGTTAATCACGCTGTCGGGCGGGCGGGGGGTCATTGACCGCCAACAACCTAAGAAGGTATGGGTCCCCCGATAGTCTTGTGTCGGTGAATGATATTATCATCCTACAGTTCATCAGATCTCAGGATTGGGTCCTGATGTCGTAGAATGAAATATCATTCCGCTCTACCACCGGCGTGTCGTTGTCATCACCGCCCTAAGCCCCAAAACAAAACCGACCTACTTGCAACCTTGTTTGATGGTTCATATATAGCAAAAGACTATATGTGTGCACTTATGTATCGGACATAAGCACCAAAAACATAAACCAAGAAGCAAGGAAAACAAACCGAAAAATAATAAATGAAAAAGAAAGAAAACTAACCCACCTCCAAAACTAATTCAAGAGAGGAGAGTCAAAGAGGTAGGAGGGTTAGCCTAAAACATACAATTGGCGGGGCTTCTCGAATGAGTAAAGAGGTGAAGTACACTCCCCATGCTAGCCATGAAACATCTCCAAAAGATACAACTTAGAAACTTCCAAGCCATTCCTAAATATTAGAAAATTTTTCATCTTTTCTTTCTCTTCTCTTTTTTTTTTATGTCCTCAAGCAACATATAAGCCCGGATGATCATTATCTTGTTGATCCTTTCCCACAACGAACAAAATATACACGGCTTAAAGCAAAGCCACCTATCTAATTATTTCCAAGATAAATTATAATCATATCAACAGAGATCAGCACTAGGAAGGTTCTGCAAATTAACATGGTTGTGTGACATAAGCCTGGAAAATTCATAACTAAAAGAAATCAAACCAGCTCATTTTACAATCAAAACAAAGACATGTCAAAAAAAAAAAAAAAGTTGTAGAGGATGCTTAGGATAAAAAATATGGAGTGTAGCTTTCCTTAAAATGTGATAACACCCCCTCTCTTTTTTTATGTATCATGAAAGATGAGGTGTTAGAAATGTAAATATATAAGAATTGGGTGGCATGTATGTAAATCTCTATTTCCCTTTTCATTGAATGCATGGGGGATCCAGTAACTACACTCAGTCCCAACCAACTCATTGAAAAACCTTGACTGAAATGTGAATGCATAGGAGTTACAAGGTATGTATGTAAATTCTTTTTTTTTCCTTATCTCCAACACACATTGTCTTATATAATCCAAGGTATTGTGGGTGCTTTTCTGTATTCAAATGCTATACATACGAATTTTTGCAAACCAAAACCAGAGACTACAGCAAGGCATAAAACCATTGCGATACAAATCTTCAAAACTGAACCCAATATGCCACAAACAAGGCCCAAACAAATGTCAAAACCGCAGCCCTATAAGCCTCAAAGCCGAGCCACAAACAAGCCCCAGAAACTGCTGTGCTCTATGAAGCAAAACAAACTCCAACAACTCTATAAATGAGCCTCATATAAGCCACAAATAGATGTCAAAAACTGCAGCACACAAGATAGTAAAACCAACTCCCAAAGACTTCAAAAAAAACGTGCCCAAACAGTGGGCAAAAGCAGCCAAAAAGCTGCAGCTATTCAAGTAAAACTGCTGCTTAAATAAACCCAAATCAGTGAAGTGAGATAGCAGCAAAGTATATACATACCACAAGAATGTTATGATTTCACATATCTAAGACCCAAACATTTTATTTTCACATACATGTTATTCAACATTCAAATCTCGATTTTCAAATCTCGATTCACAAATCCGATTCACAAATCAAAGTCACCACTCCTCTTGCATAGATTTATTACCCCAAAAGCGTGATAAGTTTAAATACCAAATAACTGGGTGTTAAATATGTAAATATGCATGTAAATCTTCCAAGACTAGAAGAGTGGTATTACCATCCATAGCAGTTTAAAAAAAAAGCCAGCAAGAAATTTCATGCATAGATAACACCCAATGTTTTAGGACTTTGTAAATAGACCACCCAATGTTACACATGCTCCACATTTCATGCTTAAGAAATTAAACCTTCCAGCAACCCAACAAAGACATCAAGAAGTAGAAATCAAGAAGTAGAGCAGGTATATCGAGCAGCCAAGCCAGAATACAGAGTAACCAAGCGAGGGAATCAAAAGACTATCAAGATCACCAATTCATTATGGGGGGAAGAGAGGTTACCTCTTGATGTAGAGCACACAAGAAAAGCAAGAGTAGGTCTAGAAACAATCTGGCAGCACCTCCCCTCTCCTCCAAAATTTTGGCCAACCCCTAAACCATTCCCCAAGTGGGGTTTTTATAGTAGAAAAGGGAGGAGGAAGGATACCTGAACTCACCTGGGGGGGGAGAGCTGAGACTTGAAGGCGACGGGCGAGAAGCGACAAAAGGCGCAGAGGAGCATGGCGGGTAGAAAGCTGGAGCGCGGCAGGGAGCAGGTGAAGACAGAGGCGTGGCGACAGTGAGGAGCTTTTAGGCAGAGCGGCAGAGAGGAGGAGACCTCGAGCCAGAGACGCGCGAAGAAGAGGGTCTCAGCTGGGACCAATTCGGCCCTAGGGCTCGGGCACGGTAGCTTGCAGGAAAAGAAGGGGATCGGGTTCGGCTAGGGCTTCTCCTGGGAAGCAGGGGCGAGTCGCATCTGGGTCGCGAACGGAAGAAAAAAGAGGGGGCAAGAGGCTGTGCGTGAATGCGGGATTAGGGATTTAAGGTATTTTAAATCAAATTTTGTGCAATTTATTCGTGTGCGGCGCCCAAGCAAAATGGGTGTCCACCCGAAGTAATTTCAATATTCCGGACGCATCGGCGCGGTCCGTTTCTGCGGCGCCCAAGCAAAATGGGTGTCCACCCTAAGTAATTTCAACATTCCGGACGCATCGGCGCGGTCCGTTTTACCATTCGAGGTCGTTCAAATACCCTCGTCGACAATCGGGTCAAAAATGCGTCAAATTTGATTTTAGAAACCGATACCACACATGCGAAACTCCAAAAGAGTAAAGAAGCGTATTGAATTTTTAAAATGAGGCGGGTCCCATTTCTAAGGCTCTAAGATAGTCAAAGGAAAAACCCTAAGGCTAGACCCTAAACCCTAAGAAGAAAACTAGACCTCACTAAAAATGAGGTCAACGGGCTCGTGTTACACCAAGGAGGACATTCATACAGTTTTTTAGCTCCTGCAATGCAGAAAAACTGGAAAAACAGGTTCAGTGATATTGTTGGAAATACCATATTCAAAATGCCCAATCACAGAGATGGGAACTATTACAACACTAGGGATCAGCGCATTAAAACGTCAAAGATTTGCAAACAATTTAAAAATTTAGCAAGAAAACAACAGCCGTAAAATTTTTAATAACCAAACAATACACAACATCAATAACCCTTTTCTTCCATTCACGAAGGTTTGTTACGAAAGTAAGGAAAAGAAGTGAAGCTCTTCTTGAAGAGACAGAAACTACCTGTTAAGGATTACAGCGTCAGACTGAGGACCAAAACCGGGACCCCCAAATTAGGGGCTTTCCTGCTTGTCAAGCAAAGGAAAAGAGAAGATAACAATATGCTTTGACAGAACTGTTAAAAATTCTAAAATATAATCACAATTTCAAGCGAACAGAAAAACCTCTGATCTATAGGCCTTGGCCTCTTTGGTTCTGCAAACCGGACAATTAATGGTTGATCACATCCCTAATTAAAAAAAAATAGAATAGTTATCAAATAAATCACAGATTTAAGAGAAAAACTACAAAAAATCCAACTTACCCTCATCACATAAGTCCCATGTAATGCGTTCATTGCTGCTAAAGCCATATCCCTGTTCGAAAACTTCACAAAACCACATCCTCCACAAAGAAGAAAACAAAGATACCTAAATCTTCATGTAATGCAGGTAAAATAGTCTAGTAAAGGTAGAGTGAAAGTACAAACCACGGCTTTGTTTCATCTCATCTTTCATAAGGTAAACATCCTCAACATGCCCATAGAGAGCAAAAATCTGTCACAGAATTTTCATTTTTTAAAATGTGCTAGTATATCAAAAGAAATAAGCAAAATAATGGACCACATAAAAAAACGTAAGGCTAAGGAAAGAAATTCTACTCGAGACTTATCTGGTATTGTTTAAAAACCACCATTTTTCCAAGATAAGTTCACAAAAACAATAATAGAGAGTATCTTAGCATACAAAATGATAGCATACATCATAGGATGATAAACTGGAAATTCAAAAGCCATAGGCTCACATGTTTAATATAGAAGATGTATGATGTAAAAAAAGAATAACTTTGATGAAGAAATCATAACAATAGAAATTCTATAGAAATTCATACTTCCTCGACTTCTTTTTCAGTGGCTCGCCTGTTGAGTGATGCAACAAACAACTTGTCCTCAGATGGGCCTAAGTATATGTGAGAATTAATTCAAAAAACCAATAATACAAAAACATAGCAATCAAAAACAAAAACCAATTGTATGCAGAAAACAAGGTGAATTTACATTACGCAAACCCTAATCATGAATACATGAGAAATATTTGAAAAAATAAATAAATTTCTAAGCCGGAGTTCATAACCGTTTACATATTCATGATAAAATATGGAAAGAAGACTACCAATGTGCCCATCAATATCAAAGAACCAGCGTTACACAGTTCATCATTTAAACTAGTAGTATAAGAAAACTAAGAGAGAGATTAGATTATTACTGCAACTATTAGGGTGGGAAATGATTTCTCTTATGTGATTTTTGAATCATTCAAATAATAGGTGCAATTCAAGAGAAAAAAAATAACAAAACAATAGCAAAAACATTTCATATCTAGCATCCTACAGCCAATCCAACTAGCAACTACCACCATCAAAAGTTAATCGACTCCAAAACATTCAAAAATAAGAAAATAGATAATCAAAACCAGACTCAAACTAAAATGCTCAAAGAAACCCAGCAGGTAGTGCCATTTCTCTTTTGCAGGTGAAAGGATAAAGAGAAAGTAGTTGGCACTTCTAGCTACCACAGATTAATAGCTTCTATTGTATTCATACAGAATGAATTAACAGTTTTTACATGGTTATTGCTTATTGTTTACTTGTTAGTTAGGTTCAACAAAGTTTAACCACTAGGCACTTATATTTCTGTTTTTAAAAAATATACAGAACTTGCACAAACAGGTTTTTAACGGAGAGGATACTTCTGCGACAACATAATTATTCCTCGTCCTATATAGAGGTTAAATGTAAGTCCATAAAACTTTTAACTGGAATTATTTCTCTGCTTTTTCGTTTTCTATTTATTCTTATTGTCTTCAGTTAACTATTTCAATTTATTTATCAGTTTTCAGTATAGTTTTCGATATCTATACTCTGATATAGTTACAAAAATAGCAGTAATGTTAATCAAGGTACTGTTGTGCATGTTCACAAGAAAATATTCATCAAAGCCTCACAAGGCTGCTGCAAATCCCCTCATAGAAATAGAAATAGCTCAAGTGGCACCACAAATTTATGATCTATAAAATCCCTGAAAAGGCTACTAGTAAGAGAAACAATTGGTGAATATGTATATGAAAGAGAAGAACGCTCAATCATAAAAAGGCTATTTATAAATCCATAGAAATAATTAGAACTCAAGCTGCATACAATTAATTATACTATATTCTGGAGTTTGAATCCTTAATATAGCCGAGCCATCACAAGAATTTTCTGCAGAAATTTGTTTACACATAATTTTCTTTAACTGCAGTATTTATGCCCAAATACGGCCCACACTCGCCTGACTATAGGCCAAATTGTTCACCTATGGTTTCAAAAATTTTCAAAATAAAAAAAAAAAGCTAGCAATCCAAGTCCACTGGATTCAAATCTTCAACAGATATTGAAATAAATAAAGTCAAGCTAAACTTTATTTTGAATTAGTGTAAGGATGTCCTCTTGAACACGATGAACTATGTAGTACTGACACTTATAAAAAGGTGTCAAAATAGGTCTAAATTTTATCAGACCCGGACACATTTGGGACATACCTCGATATGACATTGGACACGGGTTAGACAAGATTGGGAAAAAAAAATAGGACACAAAAAGTAAAAAATTAAAAATATATGCGTAGCCCTAATTATAACTCAAAGTCAAAGCCGTGCTTCCTATCGTCATGTCGAAGCTCCCTCCAACGAAAAAAAATAGAACACAAAAAGTAGAAAATTAAAAATATATATGTAGCCCTACTTATAACTCAAATTCAAAGCCGTGGTTCTTATCATCATGTCGAAGCTCCCTCCAACATTCATTGGAGGGAGCTTAGAATGTTTAACTGCACAATTTATGCCCAAAAATGGCCCATGCTCACATGAGTATAGGCCAAATTGTTTACATAAGGTTCCAAACATGTTCAAAATCAAAACAAGCAAGCTCACGATCCATAAGTAAAGTCCACTCAATTCAAATCTTCAACAAACGTTGAAATAAATAAAGTCAAGCTAAACTTTATTTTGAATTAGTGTAAGAATGTTCTCCTGAATACGATGAACTATGTAGCACCGACACTTATAAAAAAGACACAGAAATGTCTAATTTTTATCAAACCTAACAAAACTGGGACATACCTCAACATGACATTGAACAAGAGTTGGACATGATTTGGCAAAAAATAGGACAAGGAAAGTAGAAAACTATAAATATATATATGTAGCCCTAATTATAACTCATAGTCGAAGCCGTGTTTTCTCTCGTCATGTCGAAGCTCCCTCCCATATTCGTTGAAGTAGGTGGCTAAAAATTTCTTTTAAAAAAAGCCATTTCTGGTGAATCCAATATATAATTAATTGATTTATGGTGGAAAAGGGCGGGCAGTTAGACCAATCAAGTTGTCTGAACAAGTCAAAAAGTAAACATTTCATTTGCTAATTATACATTGGACAGACGACACCCATACACAAGTATGCACTAATGGTGTGCCACAATGATATTTGAATTTACTAGGCATGTGAATGTAATATAAAGCCCATAAAATGTGGAAAACTGCACGTGAATTTGAATATTACAATAAATTTGGTAAATATTTTATAATAGCTAGTTCTTAAGGAAAGGCAAAACATTCACTTGGAGTAAGGGTTCAGGCCTGATCATTATTTCATCTCCACTTGTGTTATATTAGGCATTAACTAGTAGGAATTATAATGTGTATAGATCATGATGACAAGCATTAACAATTCAATAACAGGAGGAAAATAAAGCATCCACATGCATAGCTTCTGCAAAATGAATCATGAGTCCTCTTAATAACAAGTTGATAGAGCAATTTTAGTGAACACTAAACAAGAGACATATAACTAGTGAGTACTATAATCACTTCATCATCATCACTCATATTATTCTAATTATTTGGGGTCACTTAATGAACCCTCATTTTTGTTCATTCCTATATAGTGAAATGTAAAACATATTCTTCTCAAATCATTTTGAATAGCTTATATTTCATATTACATTAAGGGTCCGTTTGGGGCAACTTATTTGGTGCGGTGGCGTTTTGCAACTTATTTGGTGCGGTGGCGGTTTGAAAACACACCTGACCTGTTTGGGTAAACTGCATTTTGGCAGCTTATGCGTTTTCAAAATGCTGAAAACAGCGTTTTCACACCGCACCTGGCAGCTTTCTAGCTGCGGTCTGGCTTTTCCAAAAAAATAAAAATTTGTAATAGTTATCGCACCTAGCTTATCAGCAGATTATTTTTAATCAACTTATCAGCAGATTATCCAATAAGTTGCAGTTGCCCCAAACAGACCTTAAGTCTACCAATTTTCCTTCTTGGTCGTTCAACTTTAATTTTATCTATCTAAGGTGCATTTTCTATCATTCATTATACAAGTACAAATCACCTAAGTCTATTTATAACTATCTTAATTTCAATAGAAATCACTCCAACCATTCATTTATTATAATCATATCTTAATCTATGTTTTCCAATTTTTCCACACATTCATTATAATTCTTATATATATCACGTGCATTTTAGCTATTAATGACCTTTTGAAGATCTAACACTTACAACCATACAATATAGCCAGAATAATTAAAATTCACAAAATTAGTGTAAATCATCAATAACAACTGATTTCATCGCACATCTCTCCTGAGATAGGCATTTGACTTAATTCTTAAATTATATTATCAATCCTCTATATAACATATCCAAATACTAAACAAATCATCCTTATGTATCACTTCATAGTGCAATAATAATAATATACTATAGCTTGTTAATATCATTAGATAAGCATCATTTTAAATCTGGTAAATGCCTTTAACTAGGGTACCTTTTGCCACTCAAAGGTTATACTGATTAGGTTGATAACGAACTCACATAGCAACAGAAATAGTTGTATCCAACGTTATACAAGTGCCCTTAATTGTGCCAAATGTTGCTTTGGGTTTCCAATATTAATAGAAGTGTAAATTTTTGTTGATACATATCATAATAAATCAATTTGAAACTACAAGCTGAACTAGCCCTATACTCCACCTCATGTGAATTGCCCAACACCCTACTCCCACCAACCCAGCCCAACCCATCCTTTGAGCAGATTCCTTCAATCGCCCAACACCACCTTCACCTTCCATATGCTCACAAATCCTGCCTCATACTGTTTATGAGTTTCGGTGTAAGAACTAAATTTAGGGCTCGCAAATTCTTTCTTTTCCACCATCAAAGTTGCTAACAAAGAGACCTCACCATCATCTTCCACTTTGACAATGAGATAGCCACAAGCCCTCTCCCCTTTCCTTCAACTGAGCAACCCATTCATCGAGCCTCCCTCTCTTTCTCTCCTCCCTCACATTTGACTCCAACCGATAAGATAAAAAATGTAAGCATCTCCTTCTCACTCAATTCAATTGCAAGTATCATTAGCCCTCACCTCTTAAACAAGTAACTACATACAAATAAGCCTTTTTCCTCCTTCCCCCATCCCTCTCTTCAATATTACTTTAAAACTAACATTCATCTAATCCGCTCGAGTTCATAAGAACATTAGTATTCTTAAATTTCTCATAGATTATTTATTTTCTTGCTACTTACTTTTTATGTTAGATTTGGTGAATTTAGAATTACTCAAATACATGAAACAATATTTGAAAAATGAAGATTGAGAATATTATATACTTATAATTCTAGGTTTAATTTTGTAAAAATAAGAATAATAATAATAATTAATCTAGGCTGACTACGCCGTTGGGTAACCAAGGTTAGGTTCATTGACCCTCGAATGACAACCTATTAGATTCAATTGCTTCTTTAGCGTATACATGATCTAGAGTTTGCATAATGTAGAGCCTTCAAGTTGATTTTCACGTTGTGTGATTTGGTGGGATCTTAATAAATTTGAGTTTCGTACTGCTGGCTTTGAG